GTTTTTCACTGGTCCCAATGCCAAAGACTCGACCATTCCGTGCCTAGGAGTGCCCTTGATCGACAGATGCCTCAAGCTGCCCCCGCCCATCTGGAGCCCATTGCTGCCCTCTTTTCTGTGTGTTCTCCAACATTCTCAGGACCATTTCAGTGAAGTTGAAGTTTATGTGTAAAGTCAGACTGCAAAGAGAAAATCGCCTGCTGTCAGAATGACTCTAGGAAACCACTTAGGAGGTCTCTATTTTAAAGATCTCAAAGTCTAATACAGTCAATTTTTCCACCAGGAGTGGGAAACAGAAGTGTTTCTATACAAGCCAGAGAGTTGGCTTCTGAGACTGGGGCCATATTGTGTCGTGAACAGATCCTGTGCCTTTAAATACATTACTTTCTGAGAATTGTCTACACCAAGTGCGGCATCTATATCATAAAAGGCTGAAGGAATGGCAGATCCAAGTTCTCCTAGGCACAATCACACTTTATTGTTGTAAGTTTTTGGCTGAAGGGTTAATACATGGCTCCTGTCTGATGAAGGCGGCAACCAGAACGTTCTCTTGCCTACGTGGGTGCCCAGGCATTATGAAATTATGGACATAAAATCACCCCAGCCTGCACATGTCGCTAATGTACAAGTCAGTTTACCCTGCCTCCCCAACAGAGTCAGAATGTGTTCAGCCTCGCATGTGACTTTACTCCAGCACCATGATTATAAGGAGTATCTGATGGCAGACTTTCAGGCATTTAGAAAATACTGTGTGCTTATAATGGCCTGTTTGGGGAATGGGGATAAAATATTAATGAAATATATTTCTTTCTCCTCCAGTTTAGGGGAAAAGCAAAAACTAAACAGGAGATTAGAATACGGTCAATGTGAGCATGGATGCTACAGGAGCACAGGGGGTGGCTCTTCCCTGGAGGAGTTGGCCAGGCCCAGAAGAGGGGGGCAGTGTTTCCCAAATGCGAGGAGCAGCATGTGTGGGCAGCATGTGAAGCAAAAGCTTCTCTTTTACAAGCATGTTGACAATGAAGTAAATAGAGGCTGCCCTATGTGCCTTGCACATCAACTACATTTCCAGGAAACATAAAATGGAGGTACGAGCCACAAAGAAGAATCTGCACCTCTGATGAGAATTTGCAGAACAGGTTGAGAGCTAAAAGACACAAAATTGACAAACTCCAGTGGAATAGTCCCTTGCCAAAGTGATGTCATCGGTGACATTTGTGTGAAATATCAAATACTTGGAAAGCCTTACCGAAGCCAGTAGGCTAAAGGCGTCTGCAGATCACTGACAACGTGCTGAGCATGCATTTGCGTGGATCACTTAAACAAGATCTTCCGAACACTCAGGAACACAGTTGGGTACCTCCAATGCCACATCGGCAAAAGGCCTAGCGGTGCTCACTGCTCAGCCAGGTAACTAGTTATTGATCAGTAATTCTGTCACTGAGGCACACGTTTTCGAGGAAGAAGACAAAACCAAACAAACAAAAAACAAAACAAAAAAACGCAGCACTGGAATTATTGGGAATTTTAGACAGCCAAAAACATTTTACAAAATAGCATCTTTTTCAGAACACACACACAAAACCATCTCTTGACCACCAGAGCATACAAATAGGGTCTACTGGGCGCCTGGGTGGCTCAGATGGTTAAGCGTCTGCCTTCGGCTCAGGTCATGATCCCAGGGTCCTGGGATCGAGTCCCGCATCGGGCTCCCTGCTCCTTGGGAGCCTGCTTCTCCCTCTGCTTCTCTCTCTCTCTCTCTCCCTCTCTCTCTCTCCCTCTGTCTCTCATGAATAAATAAATAAAATCTTTAAAAAAAAAAAAACAAATAGGGTCTGCTACGTCAGAGAAGGGGGCTGAGAATACAGATTTTCCGCGGTCCCCTTTCTTGATTGCATTTCAGTTGTGTTTGCTGTTCTGTGTATCACTGTTCAGAGGTACTGTTAGTTGCATTAGCATTTTCACTACCATATTGTTGTCACCAGGAAGGCAAATGTATGTGAGGCTTCCTAATAGACACCAACTTTTTTCTATCCCCAACATTAGACACAGAAAAGGAAGAAAGAGATAATACAAAGAGAGGGACTCAAATGGTAGTAATTTCATTTTCTATCTTTCAGGTTATTGAATCATTTCAGAAGATGTGCCTCCATAAAAACCTTATCAAAATCACATGCTTGCCTGTGGCACATATACCAATCCATATTTGAACTTCCCATAGTCACATACTTCTTGAAAAATAAGGAATGTGCAATTGTCCTCATCATTTCACCAAGTCCTTTAATGACAAAACAACTGTCAGGTGCCCCAGATGGTTTTTTTTTCTTTTTTTACACACCCACAAGCAGTGTTTGTTAATATATTCTTGGCCATATAAATTTCTAAATGTTCACTTCAAAATAGTAGAGGAAAATAAGTACTCCCATTTTGTTCAATAGGAAGTTTTATTCAATAGGAACCCACAAACTATCATAAAACAAAGCATCTGTGACCTATGACAAAGGCCTGTCTTTGAATCTTGGCTCTTTTACTAGTTGTCTGACGTTGGGAAAATTACTTAGCCCCTCTGAACCTCAGCTCCCCCAGCTTTTAAGCAGAGAATAGTAGGTACCTAATTGGGTAGTTGTATTAATAAAGACATTATGTGTAGAACGTATCAATTAGCTGCTCTCATGATTACTTGTTATTAATTCTAAAAGAGCAATTTTGTCAACTTCTGATTTCATGGTTAGTGCTTTTTTTGAACATGTAATTCAGGGGACAAAGCTTAGGCCGGGACCAGTAAAACCTATATTTGAATCCTGAGGGTCCTGTGAGGTACAAGGAAAACCACTTAACCTCTCTGAACTAAGCTGTTTTCAATGGAAAATTTGAATATCAAGGTCTCCCTTCCCAGACTGTTACAAAGATTGAATGAGGTCATTCTTCTCAGCACATGGTAAACATTCATTGAATAGTAACTTCTAGTATTAATATGACTGCAACTAAAAAACAAGGAATTACCTTGACATCCTCCTTGGAGGAAAATAACATCATCTTGCACAGGGAGGAAAACAGTGCTGTCCTTAGTTGCCAACGGTGCTGGTTGGTGATGGCCTGGCGTGTTCTATGAAAAGGACTCCAGTATTTACTAAGCCTCTGCATGCATGCAGTGTTGACAAATACAAGACCTGGAAACCAGCAGTCGTTATCATTAAGGATATTTAAATACCCCCCAATATATGCACAAAGCCACTGAAGAAAACACAAAATATTCTGCGGATATGACATACTTTAAGAACTGGAAATATAAAGCAAGTGCCTTTTATCAGAAGGGTAGTGAGGAGATCCGGGAAAGCGATCACAACAATAAAAAGAAGGACCAAGCCTCTCACCCTCCTTTCTAAATCTGTTGTTTGGTACAGCATGTAGAGTATTAGAAACTCCGTTATTGTCCCAGGGTTTCACCATTCAAACATTTTACCTTGACTTCTTCCTATTGGTTCTAAACAGTGTGTGGGGTGGGGGGTGGGGGGATTCCTACAGGTGGCGTGAAGGGTAGAGACCTTGAGATTAGGGAAGTTTATCAAGGAGGGGGATTCTAAAGTATCCCTGTACCTTACAAGCAATCGCTTCTAACGCGGGATGTACAGAGAACAGGAGGAGCATTCACGTAAAGGGCCAATTCTTCAGAAACCAAAGGAACAGACCTGAGATTTGTTTAAAGTAATCAACGGGTTTTATTTCCTGGAACTGAAATAGTTCAGCTCTCAACTTCCAAAGCTACAGTCAACAATTTTTCATCAGAGCCCAAGGGAGAAGGGCAGGGGTGAAGAAGACAACAGAAGAAGAAGGGCACATCTGAGAGGCTCAGGAAGCGGCTGGGAGGGGGCACTCACTTCCCTCTCTCCTCTCAGGCAGTTACATTTCAGGTCTGGTGACAATGCTGAGGGGGCCAGGGGGAGGGACGTCACGGATGGGAAATGGCACTGCCAAGGAACCCCAAAGCCTTAACTACAAGAAGTCAGTCAGCAAACCCCAAACAGAAAGGGAACCCCCCAGTCCATCTCTGAAATGGGGTTAGCAACCGCAGAGCTGCCCGCTGACTGAAGGCATAGCCAGGGTAGTGCTTAATGGGGCGGGGAGGGGGGGGAATCTTTTCATTAAAAAGATTTCCCAAGCTACGTGCCTTTTCTTTTATGCCCGAGTGACATGTATGACTGTAGGGCAGCCTGGAGGCTGTGGGGAGAGGGAAAGGGGCGGCCAGGAGTCTCCGCAGAACATCCCATGTAAGCCCAGAGATAGAAATGGGGACAGACGTTGCTCACCACTGCCATCCAAAGAGCTGGGCAAAGCGAACCCTTCCCATCTCATGCACAACTGGGAAGCTCCCAAATTATTTGATGAAAAACGACACATCCCAGAACTCCCACAAGGGACTCAGAAAGGAGGGTGGCCCTCTCCCAGAAGCTGTCCCACTTTCGGTGACTCTGAGCAGCTGGGGTAACAGGCCCGGGCGGGGCGGAGGGGACTGCCACCCACCACCACCACGGTTTGAGGATGGCCCCTTCCGGGCCCCTGGAAGCCCCCTCCCACCCCCACCTGTTCGGTATCCTCCCCCCACCCCTCCCCGCCTATCCCTGATTCCAACACAGAGGTCCAGAATGCCCGGGGGAGGGAGAGTGGGGTATCTGGAGGGGGAAACGGCCCGTCCAGGCCCCAACTGAAGCCTTGGGAAACAGTTCCAGGCAGGGAGGGACGCGGCGGGCTCAGCTCGTCCCGGGGCGGAGAAGCCCTGACTCAGATCTCAGGGGGTGTGGGGGTACAGAGCCGGGGCCCGGGTGGCCTGCCCCTCCAGGTCAACCCCCAGGACCGGACGGGCGTGGAGAGGGGGGTGGATGGAGGAGGAGAGCGGGTGGGGGTGGGGGGAGGCGTCCCAGTTTGCAGGCCATGACCAGGTTCCCCAGTAACAGCCAGGCCGCAGCAGGAAAGGGGTGGGGGGCTCTTCTTGAAACTGGTGACTACAGGCTCTCGCGCTCTCCGCCGCCCGGGGCCTGCGCCTCCGCGGCCGCGGCCTCTCCCCACCACTCGGGGGCCTCCGCGAGTGGCTGGGCCGCGGCGCCGCGGGTTTCCAGCTCCACGACGGGCGGCGCGGCCCCTTCGCCGGCGTCCTCCTGCTCCTCCTCCTGCGGCAGCTGCTGCTCCCCTTCGGGCTCGGCCTCCCTGGGACGTTTGGGGGAGCCCTCCGGCAGCTCGCCCGCGCTCCGCTTGGGCGGCGCCGGCTCCGCCTGCTGCTCGGCCGGCACGTCGCCGCCCGGCTTCCCCGGCTGCTCACTGCGGCCCGCCTTGTCGCCGGCGCTGGCCTCCGGCTGCGGCCCGGGCTCGTCGGCGCCGCTCTTCTCCCCGGCCAGCTGGTAGTCGGCAGCCTGGACGGTGGGGTTGTTCTCGATCTCCCACAGCCCCTCGCTGAAGCCCCTCCTCTTGTTGGGCTTGCCGAACTTCTCCTTGGACTCCTCGTACGGGAACAGGTGCTTGGGGCCCAGGAAGGCCGTCTCGTGGGTCCCGAAGAAGAACACCTGGTAGCGGTTAGGCTCGGCCATGTGCTCGATCCTGGCCGGCCAGTGGGCGTAGCCCTTCAGCTTGGCAAACACCAGGTCGCCGCTCTTGTACTTGCGTCGGCAGTTACGCGACATGGCGGGGCTGCGGACCCGGCCTCGGCGGAGGCCCTGGCGACGCCCGGAACGCGGGCGGGTGGCGGCCGCTGGGCTGGGCGCGCGCCCGCCCCCGAGGGCCCCGCGCGCCCACCGACGGGCGCAACGCTCCGCACCCAGAGAGGGTTCCAGCGCGGAGAGTGCATTCTCTCCGAGACCCCACTGTGGACGCCGCGGTTTCTAGAATGATGGAGCCCCTAGCTCGGATATCCGGGTGGCCGCGGTGCTGAGGGTGGCCTGGTGACCCTCCATCTCCGGGCCATAACGACCGCACGCGCGGTGCACAGGGTGTCAGAGGGGCCCAGAGAGCGTGAGATAGGGGCAGCGCGCTGGGAAAACGCAGTGACACCACGAGCACAGATTTGGGTGAAACTAGGCACCGGCTAGTGCAAACTCAAGGTACCCGTGTGGGTCCTGACCTACTCAGCACAGCAAACTCCACTCTCGCCTTAGGAGCCGTTGATGGCCTGGTTGGGTCAGTGGTTTCCCTACTTTTCTGATTTCTTTGAGGGCTGACACTGGAGCCTCCTCAGGGTCTCCAGCCGAGGGCGGGGCGGGTCTGGCAAAGGGATAGAGTCAGCGACAGTGTTAGGGTGTCCTGAGTGCACGTCTTCTGGAATCCGGTCTTCTGAGCGGCTAGTATTTTGGAGAAAATGTTTATAGCAGCAGCATGACCAGGTCAAACCAGCCATATCAAAATTTCCTACTTTGCATGGGAAGGTTTGCATCGCATGCTGGACACAGACTTTACCTTTCCGGGGATTCTTACCTATTGTAAACAAGACTTCGTGGTTGTAACACAAAGAGTATATCAAATGCTCTCAAAATCTTCCCCTACAATAGGGGGAAAGTGGGCTGGTTGTGATCAAGAATTAGGTAAAGGTCTGCTCATGTCAAATAGGCTGTTGGTAACGAGGACTTCCTGGGGGCTACAGACTAAAAAACAGCATTGTCTCAGCTGAGAGACTATTTCAAGAAGAGACGTTTCTCCAGATAGAAGACTATTCAAAACTGATACTTCTGGGAGTTTCCATGTAACTGCTTTTGTTATAAAGCTTTCTATATCTTTTTTGAGTCCTGCTAGCTAGGAGTGAGCTTGCACTTTGAAACCTAGCCAAATTAGTACTCTTGGCTATTGTGACAAAGACCTTTCAATATCAGTCATGTATTTAACTACACAGATGTTCTTTCCTAGTGTAACCAACAGTGACCAGTGGAGAATTAGAACCATTAACCCATTTCATTACAGATTTGTTTCCGGTTTGCTGGGTTGCATCAGCCATTTTGCCTCCGGATGGTGGAGACCCACTTTAGGTAAAAAAGTTAGCTTCTCTCAACGAGGCAAAACAAATATGATGCGCTCTGATAATTCTAAACAAGTTCTTTCAGCTTTTCTGTCAAGCCATTTTCTCAGAACATTTTTTAGGACATTCTGCTACAAAGATGAATCTGATACATTTCCTCTTTTCAACTTCACAGGGAAAGCGCCAGAAAACTAGAAATGTTTAGTGGCTGTAGAAGATAAATAGGACGTCGTGGGCAGCTGCAGAGCCCCTGGTAGGAAGGAATGTGGAGTTTCTGCAAGCGGAGGTCTTACTACACACACTCATGGCCTTTTTTCTCAGCCCTCGCTATGCTGCACTAAAGCCCATATCACATAGCCAAGTTGGTCACAGAGGAAAAATCTGGTTAGACGATACGTCCAGAAAGGATACTTAGTTAGGCCATCCTGTCAGTCTGCAGGCAGGACCAGACCTAAAAACCAGCAGCTCAAGGTGAGCGTGATTATGGGCAAATGGGCCATACTGGTGTAAGCCAAACATCGAAGATCATCGCCAGGTTGTTGACTCACAGCAGGTAAACAGGTAGGTCTGCGGGTATTATTGGGACTGGGTATTTGAGGGGTAGAGCAAAGAACCAAGAACCTACCAAAAACAAACAAAAAGGAAACAGAGGTAAGAAAATCTAGTAGAGAAGCATCCAGATCTGCAAAGAGTAAAAGAAATTCTATTAGGCACAGGCCATCATTGTCCTGTCTTCACCTCTTGTGGGCTGCTACGCTGTGTGGTGCTACAGGCCTTGCGCAAAAGGTGTTTATCTTTGAGGGCTTTAAAATATAATTTCAGAGATAAGTCACCAGGGACTTCATTACAGAGAAACCTGAGCTAGTCTTCAAGTGCTAAATTATGTGTTCTTTGCATAAACACAAAGGAATTCCAGGAGAACTCAGTGGGAGGGTGGTTATTAGGACCAGGAAGGGGTAGTAGGAGACAATAGAATTCTTGCATCCCTCCCTCCTTTATCAGCCTTGTAAGGCTGGGAGTAGATAGAATGGTTCTGAGACTCTGCTACGTGATGTTAAGGTGTTTAAAGTAATACTTTGAATTTCTCTCAGGATTTGTTAAAAATATTAATGAGATTATGGGTTTGAAAGTCCGGACAATGGGTGTGAGGGTCAGTGCTAACAAAGTGTGAAGGAGAGTTTCATTTTGGATAAGAATTAGGCTATTATTAATATCATGCTAGTATTATTATTAGACTAAAGGAGGATAAAGATCTATCGAAAGGAGTAGATTCACAAATAAGAGCACTAAAGAATGAGAGGCCCTCAGCCAGCTGAAGTCCACAGGACACATGCAACTTCATATCCAGCACAATTTCTGCATGAGACAACATAAGAGATTTTGCTATGTGGAAATACTATTTTTAAAAGCAGTATTCCTCGATGGAATTGAATCATTCACAGTAGCTTACTCCAGAAGTGGGAGAATGGGAAGAAGGCTGACGAAAAGTGAAATGCATTTAAAGAGTTAAATAGGGACCACTTTCACAGATACTGCATTCCTTTTATACCTGCGTTCTCAGGGATGCAATTAAGAGGCTTGATCTTGGCTTCTCTTACCCTTGAGACCAACTTGTTCTTAAAAGTTACTGTCTTGGGGCGCCTGGGTGGCTCAGTTGTTAAGCGCCTGCCTTCAGCTCAGGTCATGATCCCAGGGTCCTAGGATGGAGTCCCGCATCAGGCTCCCTGCTCAGCGGGAAGCCTGCTTCTCCCTCTCCCACTCCCCCTGCTTGTGTTCCCTCTCTCGCTGTCTCTCTCTCTGTCAAATAAATAAATTCTTTAAAAAAACCAAAAAATAAAATAAAAGTTACTGTTTTTCTTGCTCGAAGCGGAGAGAGTAGGGAAGTGGTGTTCATGATAACCTGCTTAGGTGTAGATTGGGCTGTTATACAAAATACTCATGAGCAACTACAATTATCAATTTTTAGGAACTAGAGCTCCATGAGTTCAACTGTTTCTAATAGATCAAGATGTTTTAAAAATCAAATGTGCCAAGAACACCTGTTTGTCAAAAGGACCTAATTTCAGCAGAGGCATACCTCTCAAAACCCCTTGGAGTCCAAAACATGTGACACTTCTCTGTTTCCTTCTCTGGAAAACTCATGATAACATTTAAAAAGTTGCTTGGCAACAATTATGAAACAGGCGATAAAACAATATAATTACACAAGAGAGACAACAGATACCTAATTGATGTTTTCTTGTTTAATTAGTTTAAAATTCAATTAGTCTGATGTAAACTATGATATAAAATAAATGCAGGTGTTTTCTAAGTGCTTTTGTCTTCGTTAAAAATATTAGCCGCCTCTGGGTTTATACGACAGAAGTGTTTATACATGGTTGGTATGTGGGGTCAAGGCTTTTCTTTTTAAAGTGTTCTAGCAGGCACAATTACACAGAAAAGAATTCCCCTCTCTGACCGTGGGTAGAAAATCCCCATGCTGTCCTTTTTAAAAGCCACAGGGGATGCCGCACTGCTTCTATATTTTGTCACTTTTGCATTTTATCGGTGTCCATTTAGCCTAATCCTTAAAGCCTCAGAGACTTCTGAAATCCAAAGGATCTGTTGGGGGTAGGATAAACTGTATCAGTGGGGATGTCCCAGAGCTAAAGGATAATTTATGGAAAGTTTCCAAGGAGCTGTATCATTATCAACTTGAATAGTGAGTTAAATCTGTACCTAAGCTTGATGATGGCATTTGGGGAGGAGACAGAGGGTACAGACTTTCCAAGTGGTGTACGTGTGCTATCAACATGGTCCTCCTTGGCCAGTCACAAATGTTATGGGGTGATATATGGGAGAGGGCAAATAGATCACAATTGTTTGCAAAACTGCTGTTTTCGTGGCCATGGAAAAATATTGTCACTCAAAAATTAATACAAGTGGATGGTTATAGATAATTATATTTTATTATCCTGACTTGTTGGGGGCTTAACGATATTACACATTACTCTTTGGGAAAAAAATTAAAAAGAAAATGTTTCAATAATATGAATATTTTTCTAATTTGAATCTTGCATGATCATATTTATTCAAACTGTCACATGAAAATGTATGGGTTATTTTTTTACCTATGTAATTAGCAAAGTGTAAGCAAATAAGTTATCAATGCTGGTGAGTATTCAATACTTGAGGATTAGATGCATATAATGTGGTCTAGTTCCATAATAATTCCATAACTAAGTGGCCATATTCTATGTCTTTAAGGTTTTTAAAGTATAATTTAGTGACTTCGAAAATGCTTAAAATATGAAGTTGAATGAAAAGAAAGAACAAAATACATAATTGAGGCAATTTATCAGCCCATGTGAAACCTAGTTCCTTAAATCTAACATGTGGGTAAACTTAGGGCCCATTTGAGAGAAAGGCTTTTCAAATAAAAAGTGTGTGTCAAATAGGTTGCCTGGCATCTATTAATTGTTCAATTACTATTATTCATTACTATTGAACTAGGGAGTACTACTCTTGTTAAAGTGCGAATCTTTTCATTTTTGCATTACATGATACTTTTGGGGGGTTACTATTGTTTTCTTTCCCCTCAACAAATTTTTTTCTGGCTCTAAATTTAGCTTGATGCCTTACAAGTGCTCCTTTAATTTTAATATAATTACATATACTTTTCTTATATTTTGGAGGGGA